CACTCTCCCTCACTCCCTGCACCCTTTAATATCCCACCCAGTCTAACTCCACTCTCCACATGCACCTTGCTTTTTGATATCCCATTAGTTTCATCTGTTACCCACTCATTCCCTTGTGGTCTTAATTGACCCTGGAACCAGTCTCTCACTTTTGCGTGATTACAATTCTGTATAACCTCGAAGAGCTGTGTTAGGTTACTTGTCACTCTCAGATTGAGTGGAAAAATGCCTCTGCTTGTGCTGGGGTGTTGTGACCCCTTCACCGCTGGTAAGACCCAGTGAATCGTTTCTGCACCTTGTGCATTGTTCTTGTGTCCCTTCTGCAATGAGATACCCAGTGGCAGATAAAGTGGCCCTCGTAGCTCGCCTGTTGCAGTCCATATGTTGATATCCAAAATGCAGAATCCTGTTGAATTTTCCTCTTGTGATGTATTGGTTGGTGCTGCCCTTCTGCAAGTCTCTGTTTCATGGAATATTGTGTACAAATGTAGTCTCCTTACGTAAGGAAGGACATGTATATTACAGAGGGAGTGTAACCTGGAAAGGAGGGACTGTCCTTGAGGAGAGATTGAAGAGGCTGGGCCTGAATTCTGTAGAATTTAGGAGAACGAGAGAGGATCTCATTGTAGCTTACCAAAATAGATACAGCAAGGATGTTTTCATAAGCCCAGAAGAAATAGCAATAGGAGTAGGCCAATCAGCCCCTTCATCCTTGATTTCGCGATTGATCAAGAATCTGTCTACCTCAGCGTTAAATAGACCCTCACAACTCTCTGTGGCTAGGAGTTCCAAAGACTCAATACCCTCTGAAAGAAGAAATTCCTCCTCATCTCAGTCTTAAATTGGTGCCCCTTTATTCTGCAACTATGTCCTCTAGTCCTAGACTCTCCCATGGTGGGAAACATCCTCTTAGCATTTACCCTGTCAAGCCCCTTAAGAAACCTGTATGTTTCATTGAGATCACCTATCTTTCTTCTAAACTCCAGTGAGTAGAGTCCCAACCTGTTTAACCTTTGCTTATAAAACAATCCCTCCCTACCAGGGATCATTGTAGTGAACCTTCTCTGAACTGTGTCCAACGAAATAATATCTTTTCTTAAATATGGGGACCAAAACTGCTCATGTACTCCAGGTGTGGTCTCACCAGCACCTTGTGCAGCTGCAGTAAGACTTCCCTACTCTTGTACTACAATCCCCTTGAAATAAGGCCCAATGTTCAATTAGCCTTCCTGATTACCTCTTGTGCCCGTGTGCTCGCTTTCTGTGTTTCGTGCACAAGTCCCCCCTAGTCCCTTTGTGTTGTAGCTTTCTCTTGATTTGAATAATGCTCTGTTCTTTTGTTCTTCCTTCCAAAATGAATAACTTCACATTTTCCCACATTCTACTCCATTTGCTAACTTTTTGGCCACTTACCTAACCTGTCAATGTCTCTCTGTGAACTGTTCCCCCTGACTGGAGTAGTGGGGGTGGAGATGGGCTTTTGAACCAGAGGACAGACGGAAAATGAGACATAGCCCATTTTGTACAGAAACGAGGAGGAATTTTACTCAGACAGTGTTGACTCAACCCCAGAACGCTGTGAAGCTCAGCTGTTGAGTCTGTTTAGATAGAGATCAATAGATTTGTAGACATTTATAGAAATTGGAATTGGGGATTATGTGGGAAGGTGGCTTTGAGGATAGCCAGGATCTAGTTGAGTGGCAGAGTAGTCTCGAGGGGCTGAATGGCCTCCTATTTCGTAAATATCCGCTGCCTTCAGGGAAGAATTGAGGGGAGAGTTAGCAGACTGAATAACTTACACATTAACTTCTGTGCGGCTGAGGCAAGAAGCAGCTCACCTGATTGATATGGCAGGAACCTGCTGGGGCAAATGGTGGGAGGGGAGACAGGATGGATGGTCAGCTCCTTTCTCCATCTGCAGGATGGAGAGTTCCAGACTTTGGGCAGGCTTCCTTGGGCCGGCAGAGGTGGGATGAGGGCAGGATGAGCGTGCCCACTTGCTTGATCTTGGGAGAACTGAATCGATTTCAGAGTGAGAGGCACTGTGGGGTGGGGGAGAGCGTGGTGTCTATAGCAAGATGTGGAGAGAGACCCCCACATGCACTCATCTTGCCCCATGCTCACTGTGCTACATTGACTTCCAGCATGACAATACCTTAATTTGTAAATTTTCATCCTTATTTTCAGATCCATCCATGTCCTCAGCACTTCCTGTCTCTGTAATTCTCCCCAAACCTATACTCCTTCAGGATCTTAGTGCACTTCCAATTCTAGCCCCCTGCACACTCCTGATTTTAATTGTTCACTATGTGTAGCTCTGCCTTCTGCCTGGGCTCCAAGCTCTGGCATTCCCTCCTTAAAACCATCTCCCCTCCCTTTGTTTTTTTCCCTTTTAGAGTAATTACAAGGCTATACAGCCTGTCTTAAGTCTACGCTTGCTGTGTGCGGGCAACACTAGATGGACCTGTTCCTCTGTTCCATTCCTGTAGCCCTGCATTTATTTAACCCATGTGTGCCCATTCACTGTCCTTATGATGCTGCTTAAAGCTTCTTCGGTTAAGTGTTCTGACATCTGCATACGTGGCTCGGTGGCCAATATTCTCCCACGCTGTTCTTGCGTGAGGCGCCTTTGTGTGTACGCCCTTTGCTGCCTCAGAGACCCTCGTGCAAGTGCAGAGCTGTCGCCATTGCGGAAGCGAGTGCCCTCAGTGGCTAATGCTGTCGTCGTTGGTGTTGTGTCTGCCCAGGCTGACAGGTGGCGCGGTGCAGCTGACGAGTGAGCAGAAGGCAGGCGGTGGGGCGCAGCTTCTGAGTACGGACATATGCTTCGGCACACTGGAGATCCTGGAATGCCTGTGGAGCCCAGTGGGACCTGGAGCTGAGCAGCAGGCTGCTGGATATACAGAGGTGAGTGGCATCCACTGATGGTTTTCCATCACCGATGAACACAACTCAAGTAATTCTGAAACACTGCTCCAGAACGTTGCACTCTGGCTTCTAGTCAGCTCCTGAAGCACCTGTTTTTCATATAAAGTTACTACATCTTCGAGAACTTGAATATTGCTGAATAAGGAGACATGTTGCTGGAGATGTTCATTTTGCAACCAATAGGACAATTGCAAGAATGTCAAATTTCAAATGATGACAACAATTTATACTGCAGGAGAAAGGCTGCTTGCTGATTGGTTACAAATTTGACTCTGATTGGCTGAGGCTTTGCTATGGAGAAAGCAACAGGGAACTGTAGGCTCCAAGCTACTGGGTAATTCAGAAAAATCTTCCTATTGTTTGCAGAAAATAGATCCCTGTGTATGAACGTTCGCCATTTCTACCAAGAGTAAACTTGACTCATCATCTTAAATTGTGGCTAATCAGCTATTAGCACACTACAGATTGTTCCTTAAATGCTCCCCAGTCATTGAATTCCATCTAACACTAGATTTCTTTTTGTTTTGGGCTCACTTGTTTGATGAATTAATGTTGCAGTTAACCTCTTGGTCGTACAAAACACTGACACTTGTCAGGACAGAATTGCAAGAATGCCAGATTTCAACAGGAACAGCAATTTATATTGCATGAGAAGCTGGTGCTGATTAGTTGGCGAATGGTAGGCATTGTCATGGAGAAAGCCCCAGGGAGCACATAACTGCTAAGCTTTTGTTTAAATTCAAACCAGGCACGTCGACACAGGATTAGTTGAGGCATTGCCACGGGGAATGCAGCAGGGGTTACATGTGGATATTTCCTTTCTGTTTGCAAAGGACTGGGCTGTGCATGTGAATATATGTGGCTTCTAGCACATATAAGTTGACTGTACTGTGAGCCTGACTGATGATTCTAAATTGGTTCTTGGTATAATTATTAGCACAAGCAGGATTATTTGACAAGTGCTGTCCAGTTGCAGAATCACACCGAATGTTGCACGCCGCGTTCTGGATTTTGCAAACTGACAGGTCTGTTCCTGGTTTCTGGACTGCTCCCACATCTGTTGTCCACTGCCTGTCCGTTTGGATCTCCTCTTTTAACCCTATCCATTTTGTTTCATCCTGTGCAGCTGTTGCTGTTTGAGAAGGTGTCCCCCTTGGCTTGCGGGTCCAGTGCCAGTCCCTGCGCTCAGATTCATTACAGACAGACCCAGAGGACAACAGGCAAGGTAAGGTGGAGACAAAGCAATCTGTGTGTGTGTTCCGTGATTTGTCCAGCAATTAAAAATAAGAGTGATGAGCACATTTATCGTACTTTGCATGATATCCAGCATCTCAAAGTGCTTGACAGCCCTTGAAGTGCTTTATAAAGTCTAATCACAGATGAAACCTAGTTGCCTATTTGTGCACAGCAGGCTCCCACGGACACGTTTGAATGAAGGGTACTGATTGGTCCATGACACCAGGGTGATTCCCCCATTTGCACTTCATCCAGTAGTGGCTGTTTGCTCTTTCACAGCCACATGAGAGGGCAGTTTAAAGGTTCATGTGAATGACAGCAACCCTGAGAGTGAGGCTGATCGCAAATTAACCGTACGCGCGTGTACAAACATGCAGATTTGGAGTCGGAGGGGTCCATTTGCACCCTCGAATCCACATCGCCACTCAGTATGATCGTGGCTGATCCACGTTCCTGTCAATCCTCCCTCCTCCCCGATAACCTTCGCTTAAACATCTATCTAACTTGGTATTAAAAATATTAAAGGACTATGCTTGCACTGCCTTTTGAGGAAGAAAGTTCCAAAGACCCATGAGCCTCTGTCAGAAAAAGTTTCTCCTCGTCTCCGTTTTAAATGTGTATCCTCAATCTCTTTTTGAACTGGTTCTCGCGTGAGATGAAATATCCTTGTCAGACGTGGCCTACTTCTAACTCCTAGGTCGATAAACTGTTCTGGATCTCATGAGTTTCACTCCAGTTGTCTCTTACTGATCTAAACTCTGGCTTTGGCAAGCTGAGCCTGTCCAGCCTTTCCCTCATGGGACAACCAGGGCGGTTGGTGGCATAACGCTATTGTTGCTGGACCAGTAATCCAGAGACCAGGCAAAGTTCTGAGACGCAGGTTCAAATCCCACGATGGCAGCTGAATTCTATTAAAACTAAACTCTGGAATTGAAAGAGAAAGCTATCCTAATGGCAACCTTGTAGGCATTGTCAATTGTCATAGTCTGCTTCACCGACAGGAAGAAAATCTGCCCTCTTTACCTGGTCTGGCCTACATGTAACTCCAGGTCTACAGCAGCATGGTTGATTCTTAACTAGGGATGAAATAATTAAAATAAAACCCTGCCCATTCTGAGTAAAGCTTCCCTGAACTGCTTCCAACATATTCTTGCAAGAGAAGGTGATGGCCTAGTGGTATTAGGACTGGACTGTTAATCCAGAGACCCAGATAATGTTCTGGGGACTCTGGTTCGAATCCCACCACAGCACATGGTGGAATTTGAATTCAATAAAAAAAAATCTGGAATTAAGAATCTAATGATGACCATGAATCCATTGTCAGTTGTTGGAAAACCCATCTGGTTCACTAATGTCCTTTAGGGAAGGAAACTGCCATCCTTACCTGGTCTGGGCCTACATGTGACTCCAGACCCACAGCAATGTGGTTGACTCTGAACTGTCCTCTGGGCAATTAGGGATGGGCAGTAAATGCTGCCTAGCCAGCGACGCCCTCATCCCGTTATGAATAAAGAAACAAAAAGAATGAGGAGACCAAAACTGTGTGCCAACATTGTAAAAAGGTTAACGTAGCCATACTCTTGTCAGGCCATGGGGCTGCTGTCTTATCTGAGAGAGACGACTCTCTCACCCGAGGGTGATTTCACCCGAGGGTCACCCTGAGGGGAGAGGCTGAGAAGGAGAATCCTTCAGCTGGTGTGGGGATCAACCCACACTGTTGATATCGTTCTGCGCTGCAAACCAGCCAACTGAGCTAATCCAACATCACCACCGATGTTGTACAGACTGTCCCAAGATGTAGAGTAAAAAGATTCAGGAATAATGTGGAAAACTGGGAGAAGATATTTCATGCCAAGGGTGATGGAGTTCACCGGGAAGGGGACTGATGGCGCTGTATTTCGGGAAATCTATAGCTGGGGGATGCGGGCCAGGGTTGGAAGTGGCCTGGCGTATGACTAACGGTGTCCACTTCCCCTCAGGGCAGCCACAGGAAGGTGTCGCGCAGCGCCGAGCTGCTCATCGAGCTCCAAGAGGCACACGTGGATATCGACCTTGGCTTCCTGGATAGGGTGGACTTCCTACTTAGGCCCCATCCGGTGGGGGGTCAGGAATTCCAGACAGCGCAGAGGAGACCGTCGGAGCAAGTACTGGTGAGCGGAAAAGCAGGGAATGGCCTGGATGCTGGAAATAGTCAGCAGGTCAGGAAGCATGTGTGTAGAGAGAAACAGAGGTCATGTTTCCACTCTGAGGGTCTATGGTCAGACAGTCACCGAGCTGTACAGCACAGAAACAGACCTTTTGTTCCAACTCGTCTATGCCGACCAGATATCCTAAATTAATCTATTCCCATCTGCCAGCATTTGGCCCATATCCCTGACTGGGAAAGGTATGAAATGTAACAGGCTTGGAACAAGGCATGACTGGGACAAGGGCAAAAGACTGGTGATAGCATAGGAGTGGGGTCTGGGTCTACGTTCTTCACTGTCACCCCACCAGACACTCCTAGGACAGGGACAGCACTGGGTTAGATACAGAGTAAAGCTCACTCTACACTGTCCCCCATCAAATACTCCCCAGCACTGGGTTAGATACAGGGTAAAACTCTCTCTACTCTGTCCCCCATCAAACACTCTCCAGGACAGGGACAGTGCAGGGTTAGATACAGGGTAAAGCTTTCTCTACACTGTCCCCCATCAAACGCCACCAGGATAGGGACAGCACAGGGTTAGATACAGAGTAAAGCTTCCTCTGTACTGTCCATCACTGACAGGACAGGGTTAGATATGGAGTAAGGCTGCCTCTCTACACTGTCCCCATCCATCACTCCCAGGACAGGGACAGCACAGGAACAAAAACAAAGTTGCTGGAAAAGCTCAGCAGGTCTGGCAGCATCTGTGAAGGAAAAAACAGAGTTAACGTTTCAGGTCCGGTGACCCTTCCTCAGAACCAACAGCACAGATTTGGACATAAGTGCAAAGCTCTCTCTACACTGCCCTTTCAATGTGCCTCAGGCTGATGGTCTATGTTCACATTTTGACTGCAGTGAACTTTTCTACATTGCAGCAATTTGCTGGCTTTGTAAAGTTTGAACACGCTGGTGGCATTTGCCCTGAGGAGCAGCCTACCTTAATTAAATATCAGCCTCGTGACTTATTACTTGCTGCTGCTGTGTGTGTCTGCTCCTGTTCTTGCTATGTGAGTGTACGTCTGTGTTAGTGTATGAGCGTGCGTGTCTGTATGTGTGCGCGTTTCCCTCTGTGCTGACTTGCTGCTTGACCGATGATTTTCAGATTCCAGGGATCTCTGCGCTCTGTGCCGAGCCGCCTCCTGTGCTGGGGCAGCCGACCTCGGTGCGCCTCACAGCCCCCAGAGCCCACCTGCGGCTGCAGTTCCCCGTACCCGATCTGCGACCCGAGCCCGAGCGCACACCCTGGTTCCAGAAGGCCGTGCGCAGGGAGACCCTGCGGCTGGAGTTCACTGACCTGTGCTGCAGAACCGAACTCGGAGCCACTTCCAGAACCGAGCCCGTCAAATATGAAGCCAGCTTCACCGATCTACATGGTGAGTCAGCCTGCCTGCCTTTTCTCTTTGCAGTCTCATGCTGGCTGGGTAAAACTTTTAAGAAGAGCTGGTTTAGACCTTCCAAAGCAGGCTAACCCTGTTATTGGTCACCTTTATTACAGTAAAACGTTGAGGGGTGTTTGACAGGAACACAGACTGTTTAAAATTGACAACAAGTTACTCATAAACATATTGGGGACAAAGCTCGATCAAAGTGAGTGTTTCGAAGGAGTCTCTTAAGAGGGCAAGTGATAGCCTAGTGGTGTTGCCACAGAACTGTTAATCCAGAGATCCAGATAACATTCAGGGGACCTGGGTTCGAATCCCGCCACAGCAGATGGTAGAATTTGAATTCAATAAATATCTGGAATTAAGAATCTAATGATGACCATTAATCCATTGTCAATTGTTGGAAAAACCCATCTGGTTCACTAATGCTCTTTAGGGAAGGAAACTGCCAGCCTTATCTGGTCTGGCCTACATGTGACTCCAGACCCACAGCAATGTGGCTGGCTCTTAACTGCCCTCTGGGCAATTAGGGATGGGGCAATAAATGCTGTTTAGCCAGTGACATGCCCTCATCCCGTGAATGAATAAATGAAGGAAGAGAGATGGGGAGGCAGAGAGATTTAGCGAGGGAATCTCGAAGCTGGGAGCGCAGGGGGCTGAAGATCAACCACTGACTGGGGATGCAGAAGGAATCCAGAAATGGACAAAGGCCGGGATCCCGGAATATTATGGGGCAGGGAGACATTGATCTCTCCACTTTCAGCGCTGGAACCCACATGGCATTGTCTAAGTGTGGGCTGTGCTGGTGCTCAGAGCATGCACTTGCTGTCCTCAAGGTGGGATGTAAAAGATCCCATGGCCAATCTTTGAAAGAATGCACCTCATGTCCTGGGGCCTTGTAACTGTTCCTGAATCAACAATGTTTCAGAGAAAACAAACAATAACTGATTATTTATGTCATCGCTTTTTGTGGGATCCTGCCCTGTATATTTTCTCCAAAACAAGTTTGTCATCCTTAGAAATGAAGCACTTATTGGCCTGTGAAGCCCTTTAGGCTGCCTTCTGGATATGAATGGCGCGCAGTTTGCCTCATACTTCCTGCAGCTGGAGGAAGTGATCTCACTGGCACTGGGTTGAGGAAGCTAAAGGTTAGCGGAATTATTCGTCCCAGTTATTATTCCAGGATCAGAGAGTATCAGGTTAGGCTATGATGCCTGGTGAGGTTGAACAGCTGCCCACCCCGAGTGAGTTTGGGGCTCTGTGTCTGATAACTAGTCACTGGGGCAACCATCTAAAGGGTGGATGTCAGTAGGAGCCCATGACCGGCTTCAGTGGAATGGGGAAGAGAGAGAGAGGTCTCTGAGTTAAGGTGTGTTGATGAGCTAGGAAACACTTGGCCTGATCCTTGTAGGGACATCACAGTAAAACCACTCCTGGTCAAACATTGTTCCGACAGGTGTATACGAAGATGGAGTCAACCCTGGCGTCTCTTGCATCCGAGTCTCAAAAACACCTGACAAGACTGTTGCTGGGAGAAAGTACATCATCCCAAAGTAAGTAACATGCCAAGGGCATGGAATTCATGGATAGCCAAGGTCACTGTACTCATCCTAACCGCTCAGATTCTAACCCCGTGCTGTCCCTGGCCTAGGGGAGTGTTTGATGGGGGACAGTGTAGAGAGAGCTTTACTCTGTATCTAACCCCATGCTTTCCCTGTCCTGGGAGTGTTTGATGGGGGACAGTTTAGAGGGCGCTTTACTCTGTATCTAATCCCGTGCTGTCCCTGGGAGTGTTTTATGGGGGGACAGTGTAGAGGGAGCTTTACTCTGTATCTAACCCCATGCTGTCTCTGTCCTGGGGGAGTGTTTGATGGGGGACAGTGTAGAGGGAGCTCTACTCTGTATCTAACCCCGTGCTGTCCCTTTCCTGGGAATGTGTGATGGGGACGGGGTTGGATACAGAGTAAAGCTCTCTCTACGCTGTCCCCCATCAAACACTGCCCAGGACAGGGACAGCAGGGGGTTAGATACAGAGTAAAGCTCTCTCTACACTGTCCCCCATCAAACACTGCCTAGGACAGGGACAGCATGGGGTTAGATACAGACTAAAGCTTCCTCTACCCCATGTTATCCCTGTCCTGGAAGTGTTTGATGGGGACAGCGTAGAGGGAGCTTTACTCTGTATCTAACCCCGTGCTGTCCCTGTCCTGGGAGTGTTTGATGGGGGACAGTGTAGAAGGAGCTTTAGTCTGTATCCAACCCCATGCTGTCCCTGTCCTGGACAGTGTAGAGGGAGATTTACTCAGTATCTAACCCCATGTTATCCCTGTCCTGGGAGTGTTTGATAGGGACAGTGTAGAGACCTTGTCTCTGTATTGAACTCCATGCTGTACCTGTCCTAGGAGTTGCCAATCCCAATTTCTCTGGTTATTAAGGTGATTTTACTGGTTAACCCAATTGCCTGTGATAGTGTAACCTTGAGCCATGCAGCCCATAATGTTGCAGTTTCATTTTCTGTTGGGATATCTCAATCTCTGGGAGTGGATTACCTGAGTTGCCCTCAGGACCCTGGGTAAGGGATGGAGGTAAAATGTCATGGATCCTGCAACAGATTAGCAGAAGGAATCCGTTCTAGGAGGCATGTATTTCATTTGACTGCAGCCTGATTCCTCCTATGAAGGAAATGCCCCTCACTTTTGCCCTTTCCCATCATCTGTCTGCACTGACAGAAAATGTGTCGGGTTTGACAATGCAGTCGCTTTTGTTATTTTGCCCTGGTTTCTTTTAGGAGAGATATTGAACAAGAGGTCCCGAGCTGGCTAGTTAAGACCACTTGAGTAAACAGCTTGGGAGGCCTTGGGATTGTTTTTTCTAAAATAACCTGAATGGGTGTAGCCAGCCCTCACAGATGAGGATTTCTGGGTTTTGGATTTTCAGTAGCATCAGAAGCTATTGGGGTCTCAACAGAGTTGAAGCTTCAGTACATGTCTTCCGGCCATTACTCTCTCTGAATTGCGTGTGAGAATCTCTGTCTGAACTTTCCCTTTTGCCGAGGGCTGTGTATATGGGATGTTACAATATTGGAACAGTTAACTAGTAATAGTTACTGCATCTATTATTCTGTTAAGTTTCCAATAGAGTTAAGTTATTCTAAATTCCTCTTTCTTGTGTTTTATTTTAATTACAGTGCTTAAAAAAATTGTATTTTGACCAGTCACATAGCATCTGAAACAGACACTTTACATTTGCCTTTAAAATAAGAAAACGTTAGGGTCTAGGCCACCTTCTTAAAATATTTTGAGGGTGTCTGGTCTGGTCCATAACTATGGGTTTTGGGTGAGGATTGGAGGGAGATTTGCAGGGCTTTGTCTGTGTGCTGTGCTGTGATCCTGATTTTTGTTTTTTGGGTAGGATTGTGCTGACGGTGAACCCAGACTGCAGTGGCTCTGAGTGGGACCTGATCATGGAGAAAACGGATGACATGGACCTGTCAGCTGTCGAGAGCCCCTGTGAACTGAAGCAGCCCGAACCATCACCGTTCTCATCCAAACGCACCATGTATGAGACCGAGGAGGTGAGCAGCCGTAACCTTTCGACTTCTCTAGTTCACCGCAAACACCCGTGTGTCGGCCAGACCAGGGTAAGGGTAGCAGATTTCTTTCCTTGAGAAAGATTACTGGCCTGGATTTCCAACAGTTGATTGCAATCGTCATGGTCACCATCACCGAGTCGAGCTTTTAATTTGATATTTATTAATTGACTTTATATTACTTGAATGCCTGGGAGGGATTTGTGTTCTGGTTGGAGACAGTGTAGGGGGAGCTTTACTCTGTATCTAACCCTGTGCTGTCCCTGTTCTGGGCAGTGTTTGATGGGGACAGTGTAGAGGGGTCTTTACTCTGTATCTAACCCCCTGCTGTCCCTGTCCTGTAAGTGTTTGGGGACAGTGTAGTGTAGAGAGAGCTTTACTCTGTACCTAACCCTGTGCTGTCCCTGTCCTGGGAGTGTTTGATGGGGATGGTGCAGTGGGAACTTTACTTTGTATCTAACCCTGTGCTGTCCCTGTCCTGGGGAGCGTCTGATGAGAGACAGTGTAGAGGGATCTTTGCTCTGTATCTGCACCCATTCTGTTTCTGGCCTGGGAGTGTTTGATGGGAGGACATTGTAGAGAGAGCTTTACTCTCTATCTAATCCCGTGCTGTCCCTGTCCTGGGGTTGTTTGATGGGGAACAGTGTAGAGGGAGCATTACTGTGTATCTAACCCCGAGCTGTCCCTGTCCTGGGTGTGTGTGATCGGGGACAGTGTAGAGGAAGCTTTACTCTGTATCTAACCCCATGTTGACCCTTTTTGCCCTCTGGCTCGACACCTCGCTTTGCTTCCTGGAATACTCGTGAAAACTGAGCACAGGCCATCGTTGCAACTTAAACCTACTCCCACTACTGGCAGATTTCTTTTATAATCTTAGAGAGGATAGTGAGCAAATTTACCACATCTCTGTGCCTAAGATGAGGGTAGACTGATTGCAGGATTGGGGATTGTTCTTCTCAGAACCAGGAGGGTTAAGGGTGGATTTTGTCTAATCTTGAGGGGGCTTCTATTCAAGTAGATAGGGAGTAACTTGTTCTTTTGGCAACTGGGTCATGAACCAGAGGGATATTGACAAAGGAGTGAGAGCTGACGCAAATTTCTTTTTTAACATAGCGAGTTGTTGTGATCTGGGATGCACAGTCTGAAGGAGCATTGGAAGCTGATTCTGGAGGAAATTTTCCAAAGGGCAATTTGGATAAATATTTGAGAATGTTAAACTTGTTGGGCTAAGCAGCATCTAGACACTGGTCAGGGGTAGAAAGCCCCAGCGTGTAACCCTGCCCCAGCTTGCAGAGACAGATTGTAGCAGCGCAGTTTGTGATTCTGTTGAGGTTGAGGATCACACCAAAAGCAAACAGCTTCCCTTTATGTCTGTACAGCACTCCATTCATGTCCTGAGATGCTTCACAGAGACAAATTAGGAAATCAAGACTGAAAGACCATGATAAATACAAACTGGAGAAGGCGATTTGGCCCTTTGAGCCTGCCCCCGCCCCCCCCATTCAATAGGATCAAGGCTGATCTGACAGTTAGTCATGTCCATTTTCCTAACCTTTCCCCATAACCCACGATTCTACTATTGATTGCAAACCTATCTATCTCAGTCTTAAACATGCACATGCTCTCTGTGGCAAGGAGTTTCAAAGACTCTCAGCCGTCTGCTTTGTCCTAGATGGTGTCGAGCTTCTTGAGTGTTGTTGGAGCTGCTCCCTTCCAGGGGCAAGTGGGGAGTATTCCATCACACTCCTGATTTGTGTCTTGTACATTGCAGACTGGCTTTGGGGAGTCGAGAGATGAGTGACTCGCGGTAGAATTCCCAGCATCTGACCTGCTTTTGTAGCATGTATTTATACGGCTGGTCCTGTTTGGTTTCTGGTCAATGGTGATCTCCCACCCCAAGAATATTGATATTTGACACCCTGTCATATAACCAGATGCCATTGCCATGATTTCTGACATCCCATAATCTTCATAGTGAACATCCACTGGAGTTTCTGCCTTCCCAAAAATTGCACGGCAATCATATCATAGAATCCCTCCAGTGCAGAAGCAGACCATTCAGCCCGTTGAGTCTACACCGACCCTCCAAAGAGCATCCGACACAGACTCCTACCGTATCCCTGTAACCCTGAATTTCCTGCGACTAACCCACCTAACCTGCACATCCCTGGGCACTACGGGGCAATTTAGCACGGCCAATCCACCCTAACCTGCACATCTCTGGACACTATGGGGCAAATTAGCATGGCCAATCCACCCTATCCTGCACATCCCTGGGCACTATGGGGCAATTTAGCATGGCCAATCCACCCTAACCTGCACATCCCTGGACACTATGGGACAATTTAGCACGGCCAATCCACCCTATCTTGCACATCCCTGGACACTATGGGACAATTTAGCATGGCCAATCCACCCTAACCTGCACATCCCTGGACACTACGGGGCAATTTAGCATGGCCAATCCACCCTAACCTGCACATCCCTGGGAACTACGGGACAATTTAGCACGGCCAATCCACCCTAACCTGCACATCTTTGGACTGTGGGAGGAAACCGGAGCACCCAGAGGAAACCCACGCAGACACGGGGAGAATGTGCAAACTCCACACAGACAGTTGCCCGAGGGTGGAATCGAACCTGGGTCCCAGCTCTCTGAGGCAGCAGTGCTAACCACTGAGCCATCATGTTGCCCTTTTACTACCTCACTTGAACTTTTCTCTCCTTCCCAAGCCAAACCACCACCCACGTCCCCTACCTAAAAAACAAAAGCCCTGTGATGTTTGGTTTGTGAACAGCAACCTTTAACATTCATTCTGCTTGACAGATGGTGATCCCGGGAGATCCGGAAGAGATGGCACAATTCCAATCCCAGACCCTGGCAACGTCCCAGTACGTGCTGGAGTTGACCCTGCCTGCCCTGCACCTACTGTTTCCCAGCAAGGAATTCTACGAGAGTATCTACAACAGGTAGGATTAGTGACGCACTGAGATAGCATCCAGTTCCCCTAGCCCCTCAGTTTTTAACATCAGAAGCATAGGAGATAGGAGCAGGAGTAGGCCATTCGGCCCCTCGACCCTGCTCCACCATTCAATAAAATCAGGGCGACACGGTGGCTCAGTGGTTAGCACTGCTGCCTCACAGCTCCATGGACTTGAGTTTGATTCCGCCCTTGGGCGACTGTCTGTGGGGAGGTCACATAATCTCCCCATGTCTGCGTGGGTTTCCTCCAGTTTCCTCCCACAGACCAAAGATGTGCAGGTTAGGGTGGATTGACCGTGCTAAATTAGCCATAGTGTCCAGCGATGTGCAGGCTCGCTGGATTAGTCATGGGAAATATCAGGATAGGGTAGGGAGTGGGTCTGGGTGAGATGCTCTTTGGAGGGTTGGTGTGGACTCGATGGGCTGAATGGCCTGCTTCCGCACTGCAGAGATTCTATGATTCTGATCATCGACTCAAGACCCTAATCCCACCTTCTCCTCCATATCCCTTTAGTCACCAGAGCTTTATCTACATCCTCCTTGAAAGAACATGATGTTTTGGCCTCAACCACTTATCATGACAGAATTTCACAGGCTCACCACTCTCCGGGTGAAGACACTTCTCCTCATCACAGTCCTATCAGATTTATCCCTCATCTGAGAACTAGGTAGGATAGTTCCACTTGGAGCAGAGGTGATGAAGGACAGATTGAACCGAATCATCCATAGTTTATCATAGAAACACATAGTACAGAAAAATCCCATCGGGTCTGAACCGACAATAAACTACTCTAAATATATGCTAGCCCCACTTTGCAGCACTTGACCCGTGGCCTTGAATGTTATGACATTTCAAGGGCCATCATGACAGATTCTGTTAGAGTAATGAAGGAAAAATGGTGTCCAAGGGCACGCGGGGTCAGTAACCCGAGGGATGCAAATAAAGAGAAACCAGAGCGGGGGGAGGAGAGGAGATTTTGTCACATCGTGAGCTACTGTGAACTGGGGTGCACTGCTGGGAGGATCGATGGAAACACATTGGATCATTCAAAATCACAGAGTCCCTAAACTGAGGAAGCAGGCCATTCACACCAACACTCCAAAGAGCATCCACCCACCCCCCACCCTGTCCTTGTAACCCTGCATTTCCCATGGCTAACCCATCCAGCCTGCACATCCCTGGACACTCTGGGGCAATTTAGCACAGCCAATCCACCTTAATCCGCACATCTTTGGAGTGTGGGTGGAAACCAGAGAACCCGGAAGAAAGCCACGCAGATATGGGGAGAATGTGCAAACACCACACAGACAGCTGCCCGAGGGTGGGATCAAACCCGGGTCCCTGATGCTGTGAGGTAACAGTGCTAACCACTGAGCCATTGTGCTGCACGGAGGGAAATTGGCCACATTTGGACAGCTACTGGGAAAGGATGACGGGTGTGCCACTAATGGGATAGTCTGAGGAGCTGGCACAGGCATGATGGATGGACTGGCCTCTGTTTATCTATGTGTACGTGGGATGTGGACATCTTAGGTTATACCAGTTATTATGCCTGATTGCCTGTGGAAAATATGGTGGCAAACTGCCTTCTCGAACCACTGCTGTCCTTGTGGGGTAGGGACACCTACTGTGTGGTTGGGAAGAGAGCTCCAGGATTTTGGCCCAGTAACACTGAAGGGAACGGCGATATATTTTCAAGTCAGGATGGCGAGTGGCTCAGATGGGAAATGATGTTCCCTTCAGTGATACGCTTGTGTCCCTCAGCAGTAGAAGTTGTAGGTTTTTAATGGAAAATGTGATTCTGTCAAAATGCATCCGGGTCCTTGAGCCTCTTGCCACTTGATTTACCCAGAGCCAGCGAGAGATTTTAACGTGTGCACTTCCTAATTGCAGTTTTAATGTTGTTGTGACTACACTTCACAGAGATCTCACTGGGCTGTAAGGCGCTCTGGGGCATGCTGAGATTGTGAAAGGTGCTTTAACACTGCAAGTCTAATGAACATCTGAATCAGGAGCATAAATAGTCCGAACAGCCCCTCAAGCCTGCTCCAGCATTCGATAAAGTAATAGCTATTCCAGATTCCATATTTCCATCTATCCACCCCTTGTTTTTGATTCCCTTGCCTAAGATGAACCTTTGCATCTTGGCCTTCCGAATATCCAGTGACTGGTCTCCACTGCTTTCTGAGCAGGGAGCTCCAAAGTGTCTCAATCCTCTGAAAGAAAAGATATTCCCTCGTCTCTCCTAAAAGGGTAGGTCCCCTAGTTCTGGACTTGCCCACAAGAGGAAACGTCCTTTCCACGTCGGCATTGTCCAGATCATTGAGGATGTTTTGTGCTTCAATCAGCTCACCTCTCACTTTTCTAAACTCCAGAAACAAGCCGGGTCTCTCTAACCTTTCCTCGTAGGATAACCAGGTCTCAGACTGGTAAACCTCCTCTGAACCACCTCCAATACTTTTCCATTCTTCCTCAAGTACAGAGACCGAAACTGTTACAGTTCAGGACGAGTCCATTCAGCCCATCAAGTCCTCTGATGGAGCAGCGTTATGTGGAAAGGAAATAGCAGCTCGGACATGCGATGAAGCTTCATAACAATGTCTTTGTGTTTTTATTCCTTTTCCAATTTTAGAATCAACAATGACCTTCTGATGTGGGTGCCGGCCGCACCCTCGCCCAGCAACATGGCACAGGGCGAGGGCACCGCAGGGCTGCACCCTCTCTTGCCGGGCTGCACCCCCTTCGCACAGGACAACTTCCGCCTCTGCAAGTCAGCCTTCAGACTGGGTGAGCGATTCCCTCCGTAACCCGGGTGCCCTTCTTTATAAACGCTGACCGCTCTGGGCTTCCTCGGTGTGTCAGCCGGGAGAGGGAACCCTGTACATTCTCCCACTGAGAACTGATCAATGCTGAACCGCTGGAACCATTGCTGGGAGGGATCTGGGGTCGGGGGTGCTAGGTTGAGGGGCATGACTTGATTGAATTGTATTAGCCTTATTGTCACATGTACTCCCGTAAATGCAGTGAAAAGTTTTTACAAGCCACTTACGGCACCATCTGGCGTACAAAGGTACCCAGATACGCATTCTTGAGTACAAAATGTCCAGCATTACAGACCTTCAAAAGTACAAAATCATTGTAATAAATGGGAAAAATAAAGAAATAAAAAGTTCAGAATCAGATCATAAAGACAAAAAGAAATTAGAAGTAAAAAGAGAATTTAAGACAAAGTCCAACTTTTAATCCATTTCATGGCTCTGGGCTTGAGGACCCCGAAAGCTTCCCCCACCCCAGTGGAATCCCGGGCCAGCGCCACCACGATGCCGGTCCGCACCCCTTTCTCCGCTGCAACAGCCTCCTGGAATCTCCTTTCAAAAGGAGGTGAGACAGACTTGACGTTGAGCCGGCGCTAAGTCTGCCTCGACGGTGCAGAAGCTGCCGGCAACCTGAAGTTGCCTCCGACGTCGCTGTCAGCAACACCACGCTGCTGGGCCTGAGCGGGCTAACAGAGATTGGGGGCACCCAATTTAAATTAGTCACCGTCGAAAACCCAGCTCTGCAATCTCACCAGCCTCTTACCACTATGGTGCAGGATACAGTCTTATACATAGGAGCAGAACGAGGCCTTGAATATTCTGTAGGAGCAGGAGGTGGCCATTCTCCTGCTTGAGCCTGTAACGTAGGAACAGGTGGAAGCCAATATGCCATTTGAAACTATTACACAAGTAAAGGAGAGCATTTGGCCACACGAGTCTATTGCACAAGAATGGGAGGAGGGCATTCAAACACCCCCAGCCCCACCCACCCTCACGCCTGTTGCATAAGAACAGGCGGGTGCTGTTCAGTGTCTCAAGCTTGTTACACAGAACAGGAGGAGATCATTCAGTCTATCTTGGCACAGGGATAGGAAGGAGGTTTTCATCCCCTATCAGGCCTGTTACAGAAGGCAGCTATTCAGTTTCTTAAACCTGTTCCTCAGGAATGGGTGGAGGCCATTCAACTACTGGAACCTGTTATTATAAGAATAAGAGGCCATTCAGCTACTGGGGCCTGTTATATGGGAATAAG